AACATGTAAGGATAAGGATACATTTTTTTTGCACTGGTTCGACAAATGGAAAACGCTATAAATGATTGATCCTCACTTCACTATCCTGAGCTGGTTTCGGGTGCCACCTTTTGAGCGCTCCCGAGTTACTCAGAAGTACTCCAGCAACAGTTTGACCTGTTCGGTATCAAGCGTTCGAGTGCAAAACGCATGGAGAATGACAGGTCACTGACAGTTGTGAAGTGTTCCAGGAGCTTCGCACTCTGCACCCGAAAGCGGCTCTTATTATTTCTATTCTGTCCAATACAAGCTAAAATTGATGGCTTTTCTTTTCAAAAACATTCGTAATAGGCGGAAAATTTAAATTTTCAATGTAAAGTCTGTTTTTTTTTTAAGATAATTCCCCAAGTCAAAAATTTAGTAACTATGTTGGCAACACAAGCCTTTTCTACGGCTGAGTTCGTTTTTGTCATCTTTTTCGTCGATTTGCTCCGAAATTTTGACAGGCACGTGACATGCACGTGACTGGATAAGACAGTTCAGTTTACAAATCACGTGCCTGTCAAAATTTCTGAGTAAATCGATGAAAAAGATGACAAAAACGAACTCGGCCTACATATAAAATTTGAAAGATTGACAATTTTACATTGCATTGCCAACATAATGTCATTTTGACTTTTATCTCTGGCCGAGTTCGTTTTTGTCATCTTTTTCGTCGATTTGCTCCGAAATTTTGACAGCCACGTGATTTGTAAACTGAAACTGTCTTGAGTCACATGGCTGTCAAAATTTCAGAGCACATCTGTTGGGGAAATGGACTAAGAAATAAAAGAACTTGTTAATTATCGATATTCAATATATTTATTATATCGAACACAGCGTGGAAAGCAGAGCGTGTGAACTCATAGAAATAACTCAGTGGCGTAGCTATCGATGAGCGGGGGAGCGCAAAGCGCTGGGGCCCCGGAACATAGGGGCCCTGCGCGAAGCGCTAAGACTCAAAATTGAAAAAAATTGCAAAAATTCCTTAATTAAGCTTAGTTCATATACTTGCAAAAAGCGAATTGTTGGAAACAAAATCCAACACCTTTATTTTCATTGAAAGGTGGGAATTTTTAAATATAGTTCCTCAACATACTTGGTATGAGTCGCTGCGATCTTATTTTAGAGGAGGCACCATGGAGGCACTTTTCAAGAATAATTCTGCTACCTTTCTTAATCTGATGACAGTTGTTGTCATTCTGCCATAAGAAATGATAAGCGGTGATTCTTTCTATATGCAGTAAAAAATGTTTTATCTACAAATCAATTAAGTTCATTAATTAAAAAGTACTGCATTTGAATTTCAGTGTCCTGAGTTATAATTTGTTCGGTGAAATAAAGGTAAAAGAAATAAACTACCTATCTAGTGCTTTTTCTCTTTGATGCTTCCAGCCATGTCAGAGGATTTACAGTTTTAGAAGTCGAAGGAACAATTTAATTTTTGAATAAAGAAAGTGTGGAAATATATAAGTATTGAAATTTACTTAAAAAATCTTTTATTGAATAAAAAAGAGAAAGAAAGATCTGAACACGAATAATGATCCATAGCCAACAGGTTGATTTGGAGAAGTTCAATTTTGTTTTTGACATCAATGACATCGACACAACGTATTTGGCTATAAAAGGTATTTTATTATTTAAATCATGGACCAAACCAAAGCAAAGAAATGGAAGAGAATTGAAGCAACAGAAGCAAGAAAATATTGGAAAGCTAGCTACCTTAACTAGCCGATTTTGGCTTTGTTAATGTGAGAAATGGTCCCCAGTACATTTACCTTCAGATTTTGTAATTCATGTACACGCCAAACTTGCTGGATTCTTATTCTTGAAACAGGGGAACACCGATCCTAGGAGTACGAGTATTCCGTCTTTGCTACTTATACTATCAGTTGCATATCATTGAAAGAAGGAACACTCGTTCTCCTGAGAATCCTGCTCCCGTGTGGGCCGATCCTCGGGCCAGGGAGTAGATCTCCCCGATAGAACGAATGTTTTGTCCTTGTCAACGTAACCGAAAAGTAAATGTGAATGATAAAGACGAAAAATTTGTTCTCTCGGGGAGCTCTACTCCCTGGCCCGAGGATCGGCTGGGCGGCTCCATAACACCAAGTCGGATTTTTTTTTTCATATCTTCAACCTGGGACTATATTCTTGTAACCTGGGAACAACAGCGTTTTCAAGGGAGCGATTGCTCTATCTTTGTCAGAATTACGGAAATAACAATATGTGCGACTAAGACAGAGTAATCCTTCTTTTAGGAACGCTGTTCCCCGGTTACGGAAATACCGAGCCTTGGGCATTGGAACATTTTCGCGCTAGCTCTTCGTGAAGTTGTCTTTCTGTCGGCTTTAAGAGAGGTTATACATGTACGTGTAGTTTTAATTCCAATCGCCTATTTTTTTATATTACATTAATAATATCACATCATATTTGTTGGACAAGAATTACTTGGCTTTGGGGGGGAGGTCCGACGCCCCAACATGATGACGCTCCAAAAAAATGTTTTTTGTTTATTAGGGGGGGGGGGGGGCTATCAAAAGGTTTGCGCTCGGGCCCATTAGCACTTTGCTACGCCACTGAAATAACTATACGAACTGACTCAACATCAAGACAAAGAATTACAAACCCTTTCTTAAGTAAACGATTCCTCATGTTTATCTTACATATAAAAACTATTATAAACACATTCAGTCATCCATAGCTGCGATATAAATTAGCAAAGTATAGGCTAATAATCAAAGTTTAATTTATTAATTTTTGTTTCACTGATATGAATATCTACGAAGGCGTAGAAGGGACACCCAACTTTTTTTTTTCTCAATTTTTAAAATTTCGACTTATAACTCGAAATTTTATAGTAAAATTTCGTGATATAACTCGAAATTTTAAAATTTCGACTTATAACTCGAAATTTTATAGTAAAATTTCGTGATATAAGTCGAAATTTTAAAATTTCGACTTATATCACGAAATTTTAAAATTTCGACTTATAACTCGAAATTTTAAAATTTCGACTTATATCACGAAATTTTACTATAAAATTTCGCCTTATAACTCGAAATTTTGTAGTAAAATTTCGTGATATAAGTCGAAATTTTAAAATTTCGAGTTATAAGTCGAAATTTTAAAATTTCGAGTTATATCACGAAATTTTACTATAAAATTTCGAGTTATAAGTCGAAATTTTAAAAATTGAGAAAAAAAAAAGTTGGTTGTCCCTTCTACGCCTTCGTAATATCAGTTTATCCAACAACATCGACGAAAAAAGATGACAAAAACGAACTCGGCCTTTAAAAAAAAAACAGATTTTAATTTATTCAGTAACTTTTGTTTTTAATGTTGACAGTACGCTAGCAATTTTTTTTTTCTACTTTTGGCAACTATGTTCGCGCACCGCAATATGGCGACTAAACAAAAGGTCAATTTTCGCGACCAACTACTTCCATAATATCATGAACACATTCGTCGCAAAATTTCGGTTTAAGTATTTCGTTTATTAATGGAAGTAGAAAAAATAGTGTATGCTACTCTCATGTAATGGCCATTAATACACTCGCATTTTACATACGAAACTTGCCTGCGGCTCGTTTCGTATCCTACAACATGCTCGTGCATTAATGGCTATCATTACATGATCATTGTAAATGTACCATCGTCACCAAAAGTAACTGGGACAGCATCCCATTAGCTCTTGTCCTATTATATGAATTTTTATTGTCAAATATTTGTCAAACTATGAATATAATGCATTGAAATGAATGACAGTAGAATTAGTCCAGGAGATTATTAGGCATTATTTGTGTCCCAGATACTTTTGGTGACGATGAAACATCTACTGTAATAGACCTATCTCCCATGATTAAAAAAAGGAAGCTTCATTGTAATAAATACAAGTTAGAAAAGAATAAAAGATGACATGCGCGCGCAACTCGTAGGCTGCAGTGTAGTCAGATTGTATTGTTTCAGAACAAATGTAGACAATACAAATCCAACATTATAACATTAAAGAAGTAATATAGTCTCAAGTGTTTCACAACGCCTTAAATCAGACAAAAGAAGAGCTTTGGATAAATGGATAACCATCGTTTGCACTTTTATTTTGATAAATGTTTCATCCGGCAACATCGCTCAATGAAATTGTGAAGGAATATACGTCAAGTATAATCTAACATAACCTTAAACGAAACTGCGGTGAGTTCAAGTAATATGTAAAGTATTAGTTTGCTCTTTGTCAAATTACACGTTACAAAGAAAGAAGGAACGATTCATTCTGAACTGGCCCCTGAATAAGAATATGACGCAAGCCTGTCATAAACTTGCTTCTCATTGGACGCTCACCTGCAGCCTACAAGCGACGCGCGCAGTCCAGGTAATAGGAGATAGGTCTATTCTTCAAAAAAATTTAAATCATTTTAAGAAGATTTAAATCTTTTTGTATCATTTCAGGAAGATTTGAATTGTTCTAAAAAGATTCAGATAATTTTAAATCAAAAATCAAACATACTTTTAAGAAAGATTTAAATTATAAATCAAAAATCATTTTCTGAAAAAAGATTTAAAATCATGTATCTAAATCAAAAATACGATTTTTGTACAACCGTCCACGAAATGAGATTTCGCGGCCGCTACACAGGCCGCGAAATTATTTCCCGGCCGCCATACCTGACGTGCAAAATGTGTCAAATCCATACAGTCTTTCTGTAACTTTACATAATTTTCATAGTTGCACAAAAAATAGTGTGTATACCATGACCGCGAAACTTTTTAGTTTCCTCGAGATTATCTTGCCTCGGCCGCAAGCGGCCTAGGCGATAAGTTTTCTCTACGTACGCTAAAAAGGCATTTCGCGGCCTTGGCATACAAATAACCATTAAATCTCACAGATAGTGACTACTCTTTGAATACTGATGTGAATTCTGCCTTACATTACTTTAGCGAAAATATTGATTAAACTGTAACCCTAGTAACAAAATTTTTGTACACAAACACTGACGTTTTGCAGTGCTGGTTTTCAACAATATTAATGCCAATTTTTTTCTTATACGCCTATTCATGCTTGAAGTTTAATTTTTTCGAGTTCTACTGATTAATAAGCTGAACCGTAATGAACTCTGTGAGTTGTGCAAGCAGCCTGAACAGTAAATCCACTCCCAAAACCTCTATTAACGAAGAAAACAGGCAAGTAAAAAGAAAAGCAAAACCAAAAAAACTCTAGCAACAATTTAATTCTAGGAGTAAATCATGCGACACAAATTGCTCCTCAAATTCGAGTTGTTTTTTCAAAAAACGCAAGCCCGTGAATCCTTTGGCGTACTCCCTAAGACCTACATATCAAAAAACCAACAACATAGTCAAGCAAAGAGTGATGTCGGCGAAGTTATTGAAAATGCGTCAGCTTCAAAGTCAGCTAAACGATGCCAATTTTCACTTGGCTGAAGCTACACGTGAAAATCAAACCCTCAAAACTTTACAAAAGCGACAAGACAAGGCTCTGTCGAAGTACGAAAACACCAATGAGGATTTGCCGCGTTTGATTCATTCGCACGAAGAAGAAATACGCATGTTGATTGACAAAAATAAAAATCTAAGAAGAAACGTTAGAGAATTAACTGAACAATTGAAACAAAGAGAAGAAGAATTAATCAAGTCTAGAGACCAGTTAGTGCATCTTGAAAAACTTGACAAAGACAAACACTTGACCGAAAGAGAAAAATTAAAAGACCTAATGGAAGATTACAAAATTAAATTACAGAAAACCGAAGATCAAGTGACAGTTTTGAACAGAAAACTAATGTTAGAAAGTAAAACCGCTAAACAAAGACTAAACACCGAAATGCTGAAGCATAAACAGTGTCAAAGGGAACTTATGCAAGCTCTGATAGAAATTGATAGATTAACTGGGCAATTGGATTTAAGAGAAAACACTGTTAGACCTAAAAATCTAAAATTTCATAAAAGCAACTTGAAAATTAATGGCAAATTATCACACAGTCAAATACCAGTAACTGACGTTAAATTAGAACCACTTGCAAATGGTTTACGAAGCAGAGAAGCCGATAGAAAAATTGAAAATACATTTAAAGCACCAATGGAAAATATTAGACAAAGACTTTCTAGTAGTTCTACTAGAGAATTAAATCCAATTTCAAATTTTTCCGATAGCAGAGACACATCGGCAGGAAGCAGTTTTCAGAGTAGACCATCAAGTTCAATTAAATTAGAAAAATTACCTGAAAAAAATATAGGCAGAATAAAGAGTGAAGAAACAACAAAAATTATTAATAAAGATGAAAATGATTCAGGGGAAGAATCTGGAGAAGAAGATCTAATTTTAGAGTACAACCACAAAAAAGAAGTCTCTTTCAATAAAACCGAAAACTTTAGTTTAGAAGAAAATCAAACAGATAATGAATTAAATCATGATGAGATGCTTCAGAAAATGGAAAAAGAAGACAAATTGATGCAAGAAATTTATGAGAGAAAAAGCAGCGATGATTTGTCAAGTACTTCTGAAATGGAGAAAATGGCTGGAAATTTGGACGAAGTAATACAAAGAGTAGTTGAAAATTCCCATGAGAAATTTGATAAGGATTTAGGTAGGTATAAATTCAAAAAACTGTTTTTGTTTAAACAAATCATACCTTTTAGGAAGTTATTGTTCGAAAGTTTTGGACAACGTTAAAACTTGCAATAAAGTCATCAATTACCACAAGAAAAGCCTGAAAGATTCAAAAAAAGATACAGACACAATATTGGATACTTTCAAGAAAACTGAACAAACCGAAAATAAATTGAAACAGTCATTTTTTAAGATGGGAGACGACATGGACCTCGTCCATGATATTTTAAATGAAGAGCTCAAATTCCAAAAGGAAAGTAACAGTAATCAAAACAATACTAAATCTCTAGTCGATTTGGAAAATAAGAGGAAGTTATTAGCGACACTACGCGCTATAGATAATGGCGATAGTGAAGCTTTATTAGATGTAGAGGACCAACAAAAACGAAGGAATATCATGAGGGAACTGTTTGGTAACGTTGCCCAGTGACAATATACCAATGTTGAATGTATATCATATTTATTTATATTTGTTATTTTTATGAAATATAAATTATTTAATAAATATATTTACATATTTATTTTACACAAATAAAATACAATTAAATTACAACGAAAAATATATTGTATAATATGTACATGATTTTATTTGTTGTTGAAATATTCAAATAGTTTTCTCTTTGATTGTTTCCGCGTCCCTTTTCACACTTCTCACAGTTTCTTTGTAGCCGTGATTTTGCGTTGTCCACAATTTATAGTATAAACTGTTGACGTTCTGCATAAGTTCCATGTGTGTTCCTCTTTCACTGACACTCCCTCTTTCCAATACAAAAATTTCATCAGCATCCATTATCGTACTCAATCTATGGGCTATGACTATCGAGGTGCGATTTTTGGTGGCATTTCTAAGAGCTTTTAAGATGTTCTGAAAAAGATTATGTTTTTAATAACATTTCAATGAAGACATTTTTCTGAGCGCTAAAGGCTCATGAATGTAGAGTGTAGACCCTGTTTCTTTAAACATGAATGCAAGTGTATAATGAGACATGTTGAAAATTAAAGGTGACTTGCTGCCATATTTTTTATATAAACTAAATCTAGTAACAAAATCTAAAAATTCAAATTAGAAATGCTACTAAAGAAATTGGGAAGTCTAATAAGAGGAATACAACATTCTATGTAACTTATGATCAGGAATAATTAGTTGATAAATTGAAATTTCTCTGATGCGAGTGATTGATTCTGTGAAATTTACAGAGTTGGCAAACAATTTTCCCTATCCTTTGGTTTTTGGATTGATTTTTGATGGACATTTCCATATAAATTAACAAAAATATCCACAGAAAAATCCTATCGAAATGTAGTACACGGAGAAAAAAAAAACATAAATTCCCAACAAATGCTTAATAAAGGACAAAAATACAAAACCGTTTTTCAAACATACTAGCGACATACGTTTCGTCACTAGAACGACTGATACTTCTGAATAGGTATTAAAAATTCTATACTTCTAATTGAAATTCTAACGTCTGAACTTGTTCAGGAGTGTTCTAATATGTTCATGAAAGTTTTGAGTTAGTTCTAAATTGGTTCCAAACGTTCCATATGATTCGCAAAGTGTTCTAGATCGTTCCAAAATACTCCTGGAATTATTAACTTGGATCTATACCTAAATTTTAAAGTATTTAAAGTTTGTTTTTGTTTAAAGATAAAATTCAAGCTAATGCTTTCAAATTTTTTATGTAGAAAGGGCTTGTGTTGCCAACATAGTTACTAAATTTTTGACTTGAAGAATTATCTTTAAAAAAAAAACAGACTTTATCTCAAGCTTTCTTGAATGTTCCCGGAAGTTCGGAAGTGTTCTAGTCTGTTCTAGAATGGTTCTGAAATTCTAATTTGATTCTAAAGTGTTCTGTGGCGTTTTAGAATGTTCCTGCAAGTTCCAATTTGTCTCAAACAGATGCAGGAGGATTGAAAGTCTTCTGGAGCTTATCAAAGTTCTAAATTTATTCCAAAGTGCTCTAGAGCATCTCGAAATGCTTGAAAATGTCCCACGCTTTCCTTAATGTTCCCAAAAGTTCAGTAGTGTTCTGCTGCCGGATTCTATTTTACGAGTCGAGTCAAAACTCGTATCGAATTCTCAAAATAGTGATTCTATTTTTCGATACGTATTACACGGTACGTCCGGAGGTCTCGTATTCGATATCGAGTGTCATAACAGACAATGCGACTCGACTCGTAAAATAGAATCCAGCTGCTGGTCTGTTCTAAAATGTTTCTGAAATTCTAATTTGATTCTAAAGTGTTCTGTAGCGTTTTACAATGTTCCTGCAAGTTCCAATTTGTCTAAATTTTAACGTCTGAATGTGTTTTAGAGTGTTCTAAAGTCTGTTTTTTTTTAAAGATAATTCCCCAAGTCAAAAATTTAGTAACTATGTTGGCAACACAAGCCTCTTTTATCTTTAAAAAAAAACAGACTTTATATTCATGAAAATTGTATGTTAGTTCTAAAGTGTCATGTAACGATTTTTAAGATATGCTGAAAATTTCCAGTTCTATTTAGATTGTTTCCAAAAGTTCTATACTATAATGGCCATTTGCACCGACTATTTTAAGGAAGGCTTCAAAGTGAAATTTTCACATGTAAAAATGTTAACATGGTCGGTGCAAACGACCATAGGTATTCTGGGGCGTTCCAAAATACTCCTGAAAATTTTAACATGGACCTGAACCTAAACTTTGAAATATCTCAAGTTTTCTAAAATGTTTCCAAAACTTCGGAAGTGTTCTAGTTCTTATCCATTCTGGAATGTTTCTGAAATTCTAATTTGATTCTAAAGTGTTCTGTAGCGTTTAACAATGTTCGTGCAAGTTCTAATTTGTCTTAAATAAAATATTGCAGGAGGATTGAAAGTCTTCTGAAGCTTATCAAAGTTCTAAATTTATTCTAAAGTACTCTAGAGCGTCTCGAAATGCTTGAAAGTTTCCCAAATTTGCACAAGCGCATTGTGAAACTTTTCAAAATGCTTTCTGAATTTTCGATTGTTGCTTGATTAATGCTCTTGAAGCGCCGAAATATTCTAGAAGTTATCAGAAATCTACCAGATATTCTTGAGTGCTCTTTGATACTTCTAATTGAAATTTAACGTCTGAACGTGGTTTAGAGTGTTCTAATATGTTCATGAAAGACGTCATGTAACGATATTCAAGATATTCTGAAAATTTCCAGCTCTAGATTGTTTCCAAAAGTTCTATAAGATTTATAAGTGTTCTAGAGCGTTCCAAAATACTCCTGGAAATTTTAACTTTGATCAAGATTTGGTCCTACACCTAAACTTTAAAGTATCGCAAGCTTTCTAAAATGTTCCGGAAAGATTAAAAGTGTTCTAGTCTGTTCTAAAATGTTTCAGTTCTTATTTTATTCTGAAGCGTTTTATAGTATTTTTAAAGATTCCAATTTGTCTCAAACAAATGCAGGAGGATTGAAAATTGAATTCAAGGTCTTCTGAAGGTTATCAAAGTTCTAAATTGCTCTAGAGGGTCCTAAAATGTTCTAACTTGACGCTAGCGTATTTATAAGCTTTTCAGAATGCTTTCCAAAGTTCTTAAGCACTCTTCAATATCTCTGTTTGAAAATGTCAGGTTTAAATACATACAAATAGGAATATATCAAAAACACAAATAGCCACCAAAAATATCAAAAATCCAATTTTCTATCCACTATTAGCCGAATTGTTGCCAACTCTGGGAGTTCACAGAGAAATAAATAGTTACAAAACCCACTTACATGTTCAGTTATGGAATCCAAAGAGCTTGTAGCTTCATCAAATACCAAAATTGGAGAATTTTTCAAAATAGCTCGGGCAATAGCAACACGTTGTTTTTCACCTCCGGATAGTTTGAGGCCCCTCTCTCCCACTTGCGTTTGATAGCCTTTCGGCCAACGTACAATAGAATCGTGAATCTCGGCCATTTTCGCTGCTTCAATAACTTTTTCTTCGCTAGCATTCAAGTCGCCGTATCGTAAATTGTGCATGATAGTGTCGTGAAATAATACAGAATCTTGAGGAACAATAGAAATTGATCTTCTGAGGCTGTCCAAATCAACATCCCTTATGTCTAGGTTTCCGATTAAAATACGACCCTGAGCAGGCTCAAAAAATCTATACAAAAGCCTTACTAGGGTTGTTTTTCCTGAACCAGAACCACCAACAACGGCAATCTTTTTGCCTGGTTCTATGGTCAAATTTAATTTATTTAAAATTTCTTTTCCAGGACCATAATCAAAACTAACATTATCAAAAATAATTGGGGTTGATTTTGTATCCACATGCAAATAAGGTGCCTGAGGCTTACTTTTTATAAGAGGATCCTTTGCCATTAAAGTGAACATTGTTTGCATGTCTATGAGGGCTTGCCTCACTTCTCTGTAGACGCTGCCTAAAAATCCTAGTGGGATGGATAATTGAAATAAAAGCCCATTGACCATAACTAAGTCACCTACAGTCAAATTTCCTTGCAAAATGTCTCTTGCAGCTAAGATCATGATAGCACTTAATGCAGCACTAAAAATAGCGTTTTGACCAAAATTCAACATTGCCAAGCTTGTACTTGTTTTCAAACTAGCATCCTGATATTGTTTCAGGGCAAAATCATATCTGTCAGCTTCATATTTTTCATTGTTGAAATATTTAACTGTCTCGTAATTTATTAAAGAATCTATAGCTTTATTTCCAGCCTCGTTTTCAGCTTTATTCATGAATATTCTAAATTTAGTGCGCCATTGGGTTACAGCTAAAGTAAATGCAGCATAAACTCCTACACAACCCATGGAAATTCCTGCAAATGCTGCCCCACATTGTATGCCTAAAATACTTGAGACTAATGCTAGCTCAAATATGGTAGGGACGACATTGAAAACCATCGCTGTCAATACGAAATTGATGCCTCTGGAACCCCTGTCTATGGTTTTTGAAAGAGCACCTACAGGAGATTTGTTAAACTTGAAATATTACAAATGATAATGTTTTTACTGACCGTACCTGTTTGCCTACTCAAGTGAAAGGACAAATCCAAGTTGTGTAGATGTAAAAAGACGTTTTTGGCAATTTTTCTTATAGAATGTTGGGCTACTTTTGCAAAAACTGCATTTCGTAACTCATTGAAACCTAAAGCACTAGCCCTAGCAATACCATCTATAAAAAAACATTATTAATAGTTTAGTTGTGATTGCAAAAGGCAATTCTTACATCCTAGTAGTAAACTTGTAGCCACCGTGGCGACTGTTTCAGGAGCAGAATCCAAATTTAAAACAGATCCAGATTGGACATTTAGATAATCTATTGAATATTTGAAAATAAATGGGACACAAACGTTCATTAATTTTGCTCCAATAAGTAAAGATACTGCTAATTTTACTCTAGAAAACATTATTATATTTCCAATTCGGAAGTAGACTATAATAGTTACCTATCCCTTATCTCTTTGTTATCTTTTGGCCAAATATACTGTAACATACCAGTAATCATTTGTGTACCAGTAACAGGCTTGCTGCCTTCCAATGGAATAGCATCGCGAGACAACACGGAGGCTCCTGGATGAAAACATCCTCTCGCAGGTTGAGGACTTGGTAAACTAGTGGGGCCCTTACTGAATTTATTTAGAACTTGACTGAGTACGCTGGCGTTTACTTTTTTAGGTTTGTCTGAGTCTTTTTTGGCAGTGGTCGACTATAAATAGGATTTGTTGTTGCAATAATATAAAAATACAATAGATAAGATTAGAGTTTTGTTGCACAAAAATATGTAAATAATAATTACGTAAGACTTACCTTTTGCAGAAAATAAATTGCGGGTTTTTGTGAACGAGATTGTGCCTGTTTACTAGTGAAATGACCAAAATTTCGGCTTTTGAATGAAGATTTTAAATAAATTCTCAATAATTTTGAATTAACCTCACTTAAAAATAAAACAGTCGCCATGATAGTACTAGGAATGATGCATTGAGCATCGATTTGTTGAAGACGCATCGATATTGACAAAACGATGTTTTTTGATTGTTTACACGTATCGATCGAATAGTAATTTTTGCCGTATTTTCTCCTGTGAATTACAGTATCACATGCCATGCCATTATGTTAAAATCGTTGTTTAACGATTTCAATGATTTCGCGAGATCATTGTCATTACAATGTCATTAGAACTGACAAAAGGAATTCAAATGTCAATTGAAGGGTGCGTTCCAAACTAACATGAGTAGAAAATAGTTAAAGACCCCTTTACACTTCGCTATTATAAGCTCTGTTCCAACAGACATGAGAACCATTCCAGAACCAGGAATTTCCAGTTGCCCACCTATTTTTCAACAAGTTGAACGTTTATCTAATTGATAACCTGGAAATTACCGTTCTAGACTAGAACGGCTCTCGCTTGGTCGCTTGTGAGTTATGTTGGAACAGAGCTATAGCAAACTACTGTAAATCAACAGTTAACAGCCCTCGGAGTTGGAACAGACCGGTCTAATTTTGTGGTCTCTGAAATGAATCATAAAATTTGACAAGAAAAATAAATGGAAAAATTGGATGTCAGTTGTGGGTTTTCGAACGCACCCAATAAAGGCGAGTCTCCACATTGGCGTAACGGATCACGTGAATACATTTTTGCGATTTGATTGGTGGAAGCTCAGCCATCTTGAATTTTTGCTACGCTAAAAAGTTAGATACTCATGTTGAACTTTTTTTGATTTGTATATTTTTTGTGGTTCTGTTTATTTGAATTGAATCAAGTAGTAAATAGGAGTACCTTATTTTAAGTCGACAATCACTATAAAGGTCTATTTAAAGTTTACACACATGTGCCGTGACGTATCCGTGCATCAGTATCAGTGGTAAATATATCGTCGATGAACACGTTAGAATCTTTTTGCATGTAGTCTTTCAACAAACCAACAGTTTGTTGGAAGTCCTTAAAATATTTTTATCTTTTATCTTCAATTTCTTCAACTCAAACTTTCTTAATCTTTGGCTGCGGTCTTGTAACTTCTGGTTAAAAATAATCAGAGAATTTTTCTTCTCGTGCTTTCAACTTCTGCAAGAAATTTCAAGTCTTTCTGTCTCAGAAACAGATGAGATAACTATACAGAGGTAGGTACCGTCATTTGGGGTGAAGTCGGACGATTTCTGCAGTTTTTTGTTAATAAAATCTACAATTAAAAAAAAAAAAAAACCCAAAAAAATAATTAAAAATCTTCCATGTCTCCTTTGTCAAATTACATACTATAAGTAATGAAATTTGTATCCCCCCTTTTTTTTAGGTAAGTTGTGTGTCCACCTTCACCCCTATGTGTGGGGTAAAGGCAGACGACCATTTATTAAGCATTACAAAGTGTCGCCCCTAGTACGGGGTGCAGTCGGACAGAAAAAATAAAAAAAATAATATTTATAGCAAAATATTATAAATTTTAGGAAAAAAAAAGTGCAAACATGGAAATTAAAATATTTTGTTCTTGAAAAATATATAAATTGGATTTGAGAACCCCATAATACTCAGCAGCCTGTCTTATACTTTTTCTGCCTTGTTTAATATCTTCCGAGTGCTCTAGCGACGTTTTCTTATAGCACCTAACCATAGTGTCCGCCTTCCCCCCTATACAATGAATTTTTTTACTAAAACACCCATTACCTATTTAAAAAAAAAAAAAAAATATTTTTTCACCAAATTGCCATGGGTTTACTAATAATAGAGCACATAACAAATAATAGCTCATTTGAAGTACATAGTTTCAGTATTCCCTAGTGCCCAACAGTTTCTTCTTTGGTTTTCAAATTCTAAGAAAACAATAAAATTTAAAAAATTCTGACCACTCTACGGCGAATTTATCTAGCAAAAATGCACCACTCTCAATGACACTCGAGCTAAACTAAGCGGAATATGGTGGTCGGTGGATTTTTTGGGTGTCTCGATACCCGATATCGTGAAAAACGCCGGCCAATACCTGTCTGTCCGAGTTCACCCCACAGTCCGACTTCACCCCAAATGACGGTACCTATCAAAGAGCTAAGACGTTCTAGAGCAATTTATAACTTTGATAAGCTTCAGACGGGGCTTCAAGACTTTCAATTCAGTTTTCAATCCTCCTGCATTTGTTTGAGACAAATTGGAAATTGGAACCTTTAAGAACATTGTAAAACGTTACAGAACACTTCTAAACGTTGCGCAACATTCTAAAAAGCTTTTGGAACACTTTACAAATCATACGGAAACACACTTTAGAACTTCCATGAATATATTAATTAGAATACTTCTGATAACGATAACTTCAAGCTTCAAGACCATTAAGCAACCAATTTTAAACTTATGCCAATTTGGAACATTTTTAAGCATTTTTAGACATTCTAGAGAAAATATTTAGAACTTTGATGTTTCAGAAGACTTTCAATTCAATTTCCAATTATCCTGCATTTGTTTGAAACAAATTGGAACATTCAAGAACAATATAAAACGCTATAGAACATAGGTATATATAATTATCGGTTTATAACGTTCTACGTCTTCTGATTCCCGCTCTCCAACCATCTCTGTCAATCCAGTCATCCTCTTCTAAGCCTCTGACTTTATTTCCTCGTCTAGGTACTCCACTTCTCCAGCTGCTTCTTGGTTTGCCGCGTCTTCTTCTTCCCCCTGGCTTCCACTCAATTATTTGCTTGGGTACATGTTCAAACCAAATCAGCTGTTTGTCCTTTATATCATCTACTATTGTGTGTTTTACGTCCATAATCTCCCTAATTCTCAGATTTATTATCCTTTCCATTTTTGACCTACCTGCCGATTTCCTCCAAAAAGTCCCATTTCAGTTGCTTCCAGCATTTTTGCGGTTATGATCTTTAGTGGCCAGACGTCTGAACTATACGTGACTATGCTTTTGACTATGGTGTATATTCTCGTTTTGTTAGTTTTGTTGATATTTTGATCCCACAGTACACCATTTAGTAGGGATATTGCCTTGCGTCCTTGTATATTCCGATCTTTAATTGCTTCGTCTCGGGTTCCCTCATATGTGAGATTTTCATGCCCAAATATTTGTATTCAGTACAGGGTGCAAAAATATTATGATATTTATTTAAATATCAAAATATCCGATATTTTATGATATATATCGGATATATATTCAATATCTGATATTTATTTTATTCCGTACTCTTGCTTGTGCTTTTTTATATATTTCTTTGTCTTTGTCTCGTGTCCTATTTGAACTTATAGATACTGTTGGTATTTGTTCCTTTTATCTGCTATGCCTTTCTCTATTTCTTGATCCCACCAATAAGGTGAGGGCCTACTTCCCTTTTTTTCATATTTGCCAAGGGCTTCAAATGCTGCACTGTGAATACTCTCTTTGATATTATGTTGGTAATGCATTTCAAGGTTTTGGGAGTTCATACTACTCTGTAATTTTTGATCTAATCTCTTCAACCCCTTTACGCTTTGTTCTTCTAGAGATTTTAGGTTGTATTTCTCAGGCACAATAATAAGTCTGTTCCTGCAGAAATGACAAACCAGTCAGAGCGAGTTTCATTGGATGAAAACAGTCAGAAAGAGTCAGAATTCTAGTTTCAACCAATGAAATTCGCTCTGATTGGTTTGTGGTTTCTGCAGAAACAGACAAATGTCTTCTTGTTTTTTCATTCCGTTTTCTTTTGCGGTGTTTCTGCCCGGGATAAAGATTTTTGTTTTTAGGAGGTAGTGATCGCTACCACAGGTCGCTCCCCTATATGCTCTCACATCCTGGAATTTTATGTTCGAGCTCTGTTTTGTGATAGTGTAGTCTGTGGTGTAGTCAATAATCGATTTTTGTTATCTAGTTTCATTTTTTCATGTGTACCTAAAGTATGTTTTATTTGAAAGATAATTCCCCAAGTCAAAAATTTAGTAACTATGTTGGCAACACAAGCCTTGACTTTTATCTTAAAAAAAAAAAAAACAGGCTTTATGTATTTCTTTATGCTGAAAGTAACCGTTTTAGGTTACTTAAGAATATTTGGGAAATTTCTGATAACTTCTAGAACATTCCGACGCTTCAAGAGCATTCGTTATGGGTTTCAGAATTTCATTTCTCTCATCTCTCTGAGAAAGGAGTAGGTATGTTTTAAAGTGGTTTTTTATTCGTCCTTATATAAACATTTGCTAGGAACTTTTGTTTTTTTTTTTAAGAGTTTTGTGTGTGTCATTAAAAGAGTGTCTGTTTTGTTTCCCATTTTCCAAATATTTTGATAGTATTTTTCTGTGGATATATGTGTTAATTTACATGGGAATATTCATCAAATATCCATCCAAAAATCAAAGTAGAGGAAATTATTTGCAATGTGTCTTCTTCCATTTTCTTTATGATCTTAGAACTTCTATCAAAAATCATCAGAATTTTCCTTTGATCTTTCAATGTCGATTACAGACTTTTGAACTATTTCTGTCTTTTATCTTACCAAACTGTCAAAATCTCTTCGTCTGTAGTCTGTCAAGTTCCCTTGAAAATTTTTAGAAAATGATTTTCTTTAATCCATTTTTAATGTATTTTAAAATTCGTTTTTGTCTTACTTTTTTTCATGTATCAATTTCTCAATAGTATTCTTGCCTACGATCTTTTAGCTTCTATTAAAAATCATCTGATATAATTTTTCTGTTAAATCATTCAGCGTCTGTAAAAGGTCCTCATATTCTTTATGTCTTCCAATTTGTTGAACTTTTTTCATTTATGATCTTGCAATCTTTAGTTAAAAATTATCACAGTGTTTATTTTTTGATATTTAAACTTTGAAAAGAGGTCTTAGAATCTTCTTGACTTTGATCTTTCAATTCCTCCTTTGAATATAATCTAAGTTCAATGTTGCAGTCTTTATTCTGGTATTTCATTTTTCAATTTTTCAGAATATTTCTTTCTGTCTTATGAAGAATCTTTTGATTTTTTTTAAATTTTAAGTTTTTTGGAGGTTCTCATGCGAAAGTGGGAAAAGGAAGAGTGGATGGTGTGACGGGTGATTTTGGTCCTGGCGAGAAAAACGAACGACGTAATCTGCTTATTCAACTCTGTGAAGAGTGAAGAGGAAAAATTGGTTATTAAAAATACCTACTATAAACTACCTCCCAGACGGTTATATACATGGCGATCCCCACAAGACAATCACGACCACATAGTAGAAATCAGATTGACTATATTCTGACCCAGCCAGCACAAGAACATCCCATCTACATTAATGGGAAGCGCGCTGGGGAAGTTCAACCTCCCATGCGATGTTCTTTTGATATTTATGTAACCTCTATGTGACTGCCGAATGTCCGCAACACATGGAAATTTATAGTTCTTACCATGGATGTTACCTACAGAAGTTGACGTAACATCACAGCGCGAGGTTTTGAGTACTTCGCAATAGGGTTGCATGTGAACATCTATAGAACTTAGCTTTGAACGTTGACAGAACATCAAAAGGGGACTTTTATCTAACATCCCATAGAGATTACAGATTGAAGTCTTTTTAACATTACTATTAGATTTTCAAAGAACTTCTATAATAAGCTACATTATTATGTTTATTGACAAAGAAAATATTTATTTTAATAGGTGAAAAATTATTATTTTTTGTAGAAATTTAAATCTTAAAAAAAAAATACATACTTTAAACTTTAGAGGTATAAGTACATATTCTTAATTCTACAAAAAATAATAAATTTTTAACATATCAAAATGAATTTTTTCTTCATCAATAAACATATATGAAGTATATTGTTATGAATTATTTA